GTGGGAAACCCAGATAAAAATTACTAATTAGTCAAAAAAGCCATCATAATAAATTCATACAAAGTCAACATGATCAAGGATATCGTATGTCGGGAGAGCGCATTGCCGTTGGATAAACTTATCATGTATTACGTATACGATTATATAGTTTGAGAGAGAAATAACACACAAATATTCGGACAGCTTAAACGAGAGGACCGGATCATTTTCCACAGACATATCCTTCGTCACCGCCTGTCTCTTCACTTAAACTATGCACTATGCAGACATGCAGTGTTTCTATATAGCGTTCCTTCTCGTCGTGCGGTCGGCAACGTATTTTACGATCAGAAAATTATAGGGCACACCGCACACGCGTATGTATTTAGGTACTATACATAATATATGTATATATAAAATATATATATTATATTAGCTCATCGGACAGGTCGACTCTTATTAAATACGATGTGTGTGTGTGTGTGTGTGTGTGCCTTATGTGTGTCTTTACTCTTTCGTTTTATTTTCTCTACGAAGCGTTATTATGTTTTACATCGTTCCGAGTTTTGTTATTTATTTCCAAGTGTCGGTTACGCGTTCTAGAATTTCTATAGTATTGGCCTCACCAATATCAATCGCATTTATATATTATACATTATTTATGGCGCCGATGCCGATAACGGGTAAATGACTTTTGAGAATACGACCAAAAGACCTTGAAAAACTCAATATATTATACCAATATGGCTGTAAGCCTGTACATAATATTATATTATACAGACGGTATAATAAACTCGAACATATTATTTTGTTTATTTGGGTTCAAATAAATTCAAACAGTATCTAATAAAATAATATAATATTATTTATCCGATATAAGCAATAAGTATAGTGTACCTTTAGTGTAATGTGTATACCTATATAATATAATATACAAGAAATGGTTTTAATATTTTATGCCATAAAACTTTTTTAATTTTAGTTTAAATAATAGCTGCTGCAGTATTTAGTTTTAATGCAATATCTGTTTATTTTGATTAATACATGGCGAGAATTTTCACTTGAAATATCAAATATGAGTAGAGTACCTAACTATATTAATATTATGTCAGTAGGTATACAAAAAAGCACGAGTTAGGTATATTATATATGTCAGATATTTTAGTCAGGATACAAATGATATTGTAGTTAAAAATTAGCCAAACAGAAGAGTTGTTATTATTGGAATTAGAAAAAAAGTTGAGTCTGATTCCGTGTTTCTTAAATAATTTTTATGAGCGTCTGTGAATAAAATGTTGACAAGTTTTGCGATTTTCTTATTTTGTTGTATTAAAAATGTCAACAAATGTTTTTATCAGCATTATATATACTTGTCATAATTTGAAACATATTTAAATATTTTGTATCTTTTTGAGTTATTCATATAGACATTTATAATTTGAATTTTTTTACATATATTGTTGTTACAACTTTTAAAAACTATTAAAGATATTAAGTTATTGTACGAACAGTTAAAAATAATGAAAATACATAACTAACATTTTTTTCTAATTTTGACAAAATTGGATAATTAGGCAAAAAAATTACTTGTATAACATTTCTAAAACCTACCGAATTACATGTAAGCAAAAAAGAAAAATTCTAAAAAATATTATTAAGTTACCCATGAATCTAAATATGAAATCTAAAAAATAATATAAGCTACCTACTTCCATTGCATTGACTTATGCAATGACGAGGTAGGTGCACTCAAAAACTTTCTATGGAGCAAAAGCAATAGTTCACCGGTTTTTCGTATAAGTATTTCTTTTTGACATCTTATTTAATTATTATTTCATGTACATGCAGATTTGAATTTGACTTCTATGAAAATAGGCCTAGCTGTATTTTTATGTATTATATATAAAAAAAAAACACGTCATATAGTGTATAATACTATAATACGTAATGAAATTAGCTCTGACTTCTGATAATCTGATATACCATGTACGCAAAAGTCTACGAAACGTGGTTTCATATTGGATAATTAACTATTATTTATTAGCTTTAACGATAATAAATTCAGCGAATTCAAATATTAGCATATGAATATAAAATATTATATTATGTATTATAGCTTTGACGTTATTAAGGATTTTTTGCAACCATATTTTGTATTATTAATATTATAGGTCATCGCGTGATTATGTACGGAATAAATGTAGTTATGGTATATAGTAATTAGTTACCATATTCTCAGTTGGAGCTTCAAATTATTTAAATATAATTCATCTGTTTTCAGCTGTAAAATTAACTAGTAATATAAAAATAATAAGCCAAACGTATTTTATGGTAAATACATATTTTACCGCTTAAATCTAACAATATTACAAAAAGTTGATGCGCAAAAATTGAACTGTCACATAATTACAGTCATAACTATAATAATAGCTTTAATTGTTTGTAATTAAAGTGACTTCCACTTAATGTGATCAACGGTTTATATTACCATCAACCGTTTATTGAAATCATAAAATAAAACTTAAATCAACTATAATTTTATGATACACTGTACAACACTGTCTACCTGAATTATTAAATCACTTTTAGGAACTATTTAATTACTTTTACGACTTATTAAGTCAAATTCAGAACTAATTATAATCACAATATAACATAATTATGTAAAAATAATATGCACAATGTGTTTAATTTAATTTAACCTGTATGTAGGTATAATCAAGAAAAATTAACAAAAATAAGGTATCATGGAATCAACCGGTTAATAGAGCCTTATTTTGGTACATGATTTTTAAATACTACAAGTACCAAAAAGTAGAGTCGTGAAGACAAAATAAACAGACGAATCCACATAAAATGTATAACAGTATATTGGTAATTTGTTCAGCATGTACCTAATAGGTACTATCTATTGTTTTTGAATATCGAATTAAAATGTATCATAGTTAAATTGCCATATTCCACTATAGTAAATACTTGAATGATAGGTATAGGTTAGAGATTATTTTAATGAAAACAATTATCGATCCACCTAAAACCAAAGGCCTGAGAACTATTGGAATTCGGAAGTATGAATGCATGTTTTATGGTCAGATTTTGTTCATTGTAACAAATATCAATCCACTTAGCGATGGATTATGGTTTGGTTAAACGTTTCAATAGTCGTTGTTGCAAATATATATTTTTTCCCACGTACGCAATAATAATACAGTTTTTATTGTTACTATAATGAAATAGAAACATACGATAATATTAGGTTATATATTCGTTTATATAATATAAACATTTAAAATATTAACGTGTTTTTTGGATGTCAAATAACATTAACATTTTTATTGGAAACTACAAAATATAAATCAAATAAAGAAAACAATTCATTTATTTTAAAAAGAGCATACGTATAGTAAGAGTTTTAAAAATATTTTTAAAAAAAATGTATGATGTGTTTTTTATTTTTATCTTGAATGTTATAAATGTTTATCAATGTTTTATATATTACTACTATTAACTATATAATATTACCCGATTACCGTACTACTTAGTACTTACACAATAATTACAAAATAAATAATCCAACTAATGCACTAGGTATATAGTATTATATATATTAATGTATTATTCTTATTCTATTATTTTTTAATTTAATTTAAATATACTACCTTTGTAGGTAGGTAAATTAAATATGGACAACGTATGTGCAAACATACTTTTATTCGAATTTATTGTTTTTGTGTATATTAATTATTAACAGATCATAGTATTTTCAATATTATGGTTGGCTGAATCAGCATTCAGCAACAATGAAGGATATGTCTAAATAGTTTAATAATATATAAAATTGTAAAAAGTTTTAAGTTTACTACATAAGTGATAGAGGATGATCATTTTACCATTAATTTTACGAACACTACTTAATACCTTTGTATATATTTCTGACCCTACAGTCATCACATTAGTTACTATATTATAGTATTGATCTGTGGTGGGGTCAAACGATAGGGTTGATAAGGCGAATAGATTTCAACCCCCTTTTTTCAATATTTTAAATTACTTATATATAGGTATATAGACTGTACCATGTAGGGTAGGTATGTGTATGAGTATGTTAAATAATCGACCACAAAATCATTTGCCTACAACTGATATTTAGCATTAAGCGACCTATTATTTCGTACGTGACATATGTACACTTTACGGTTTATATAACATATATTAAGAAACTCGAGACGACGAAACCATGCCATTAGTAAGATAAACACTTAATTATTATTTTAGACATTAGAAAAATATTGGAAAGTTTGTAGGGCGTTTTTGTTCAAATTATTTGTACAATTATGAAAAGTTTTACCTTCGTTAAAGTATGCATTATTGACTATTGTTTGGTTATTAGATCTATACAGTATACGTAAATTTATTAATTATATTAAATTACGATAACGTTTATAGTTCTATAGCAACAGGCCAAATTAAATTAGAATAGTAAAAGTATTTATTATATACAATATGTATAGCTATTATTTTTTACACTTACAATTATACCAAGAACAATCAATATAGGTAGGTACTTTAACTAAGAAAAATATTTTATTTTCTGTGATAAGGTAAAAAATACCTATTTAAGAAGTGTACATTACAGAAATGGATGTAGTGCTTTTTCTGCTCGTAAACTGGTTGGAAAAATCTAAGCTAACAAACACTTCTACATACATTTTTTAAATTTTCATTTGAAAATAGGTAAGTAAAATTGTTTAAAAAAAATATTTAATATTTAATATTCGTTGAGACATGATTTGAATGCGTTATATTTTATTCAAGCAATAAATTAATTACCTATGGAAGTATATTTAATGATATTTTTTTAAACAAAATTTGAATTTTTATTTTTATTTATTAGTTTCGAACAAATTGCCACTATAATGTAGTTAAATTAATATTTTCAACAACTAAATATTTCAGCATTGCATGTATTTCTTGGACAAAAAAATTTCATTTTCATATTTATATTATTTTTGTCAACAGAAATGAATACTATCCGTTTGCTTACATTAATATTGGCTATCACTACGTTGACGTCAGGATATGTCATTAAGCGTTCAAAAAACAATGATCCCACATCAGTAACTAAATTATCACCGGAACCACCAAGCGTTACAGATGTGTCTGTTACAGCTGTACCTACATCTACAGTTGCTTATTATATATGCTATGCATATACTACACTAATTGGCCCCTGCAATTGTACGACTGAATCAACAACTGTGCCAGCTTCTACAACCGATGGTTCTAAAGACGTTTCTACCAAATCTCCGACCACTACACGCATCACAAATAAGCCTCAAACCACAACTGTGCCAGCTTCTACAACCAATGGTTCTAAAGACGTTTCTACCAAATCTCCGACCACCACAAGTAACACAAATAAGCCTCAATCCACAACTGTGCCAGCTTCTACAACCAATGGTTCTAAAGACGTTTCTACCAAATCTCCGACCACCACAAGTATAACAAATAAGCCTCAAACCACAACTGTGTTAGCTTCTACAACTCATGATTCTAAAGACGTTTCTATCAAATCTCCAACCACCACACGCATCACAAATAAGCCTCAAACCACAACTGTACATAATTCTACAACCGATGGTTCTAAAGACGTTTCTACCAAATCTCCGACCACTACACGTATCACAAATAAGCCTCAAACCACAACTGTGCCAGCTTCTACAACCAATGGTTCTAAAGACGTTTCTACCAAATCTCCGACCACCACAAGTATCACAAATAAGCCTCAAACCACAACTGTGTTAGCTTCTACAACTCATGGTTCTAAAGACGTTTCTACCAAATCTCCGACCACTACACGTATCACAAATAAGCCTCAAACCACAACTGTGCTTGCTTCTACAACTCATAGTTGTAAAGATGTTTCTACCAAATCTCCGACCACCACAAGTATCACAAATAAGCCTCAATCCACAACTGTGCCAGCTTCTACAACCAATGGTTCTAAAGACGTTTCTACCAAATCTCCGACCACCACAAGTATCACAAATAAGCCTCAATCCACAACTGTGCCAGCTTCTACAACCAATGGTTCTAAAGACGTTTCTACTAAATCACCAACCACCACACGTATCACAAATAAGCCTCAAACCACAACTGTGTTAGCTTCTACAACTCATGATTCTAAAGACGTTTCTATCAAATCTCCAACCACCACACGCATCACAAATAAGCCTCAAACCACAACTGTACATAATTCTACAACCGATGGTTCTAAAGACGTTTCTACCAAATCTCCGACCACTACACGTATCACAAATAAGCCTCAAACCACAACTGTGCCAGCTTCTACAACCAATGGTTCTAAAGACGTTTCTACCAAATCTCCGACCACCACAAGTATCACAAATAAGCCTCAAACCACAACTGTGTTAGCTTCTACAACTCATGGTTCTAAAGACGTTTCTACCAAATCTCCGACCACTACACGTATCACAAAGAAGCCTCAAACCACAACTGTGCTTGCTTCTACAACTCATAGTTGTAAAGATGTTTCTACCAAATCTCCGACCACCACAAGTATCACAAATAAGCCTCAATCCACAACTGTGCCAGCTTCTACAACCAATGGTTCTAAAGACGTTTCTACCAAATCTCCGACCACCACAAGTATCACAAATAAGCCTCAATCCACAACTGTGCCAGCTTCTACAACCAATGGTTCTAAAGACGTTTCTACTAAATCACCAACCACCACACGTATCACAAATAAGCCTCAAAAAACAACTGTGCCAGCTTCTACAACCGATGGTTCTAAAGACGTTTCTACCAAATCTCCGACCACTACACGTATCACAAATAAGCCTCAAACCACAACTGTGCCAGCTTCTACAACCAATGGTTCTAAAGACGTTTCTACCAAATCTCCGACCACCACAAGTATCACAAATAAGCCTCAAACCACAACTGTGTTAGCTTCTACAACTCATGGTTCTAAAGACGTTTCTATCAAATCTCCAACCACCACACGCATCACAAATAAGCCTCAAACCACAACTGTACATAGTTCTACAACCGATGGTTCTAAAGACGTTTCTACCAAATCTCCGACCACTACACGTATCACAAATAAGCCTCAAACCACAACTGTGCTTGCTTCTACAACTCATAGTTGTAAAGATGTTTCTACCAAATCTCCGACCACCACAAGTATCACAAATAAGCCTCAAACCACAACTGTGTTAGCTTCTACAACTCATGGTTCTAAAGACGTTTCTACCAAATCTCCAACCACCACACGCATCACAAATAAGCCTCAAACCACAACTGTACATAGTTCTACAACCGATGGTTCTAAAGACGTTTCTACCAAATCTCCGACCACTACACGTATCACAAATAAGCCTCAATCCACAACTGTGCCAGCTTCTACAACCAATGGTTCTAAAGACGTTTCTACTAAATCACCAACCACCACACGTATCACAAATAAGCCTCAAAAAACAACTGTGCCACCTTCTACAACCGATGGTTCTAAAGACGTTTCTACCAAATCTCCGACCACTACACGCATCACAAATAAGCCTCAATCCACAACTGTGCCAGCTTCTACAACCAATGGTTCTAAAGATGTTTCTACCAAATCTCCGACCACTACACGTATCACAAATAAGCCTCAAACCACAACTGTGCCAGCTTCTACAACCAATGGTTCTAAAGACGTTTCTACCAAATCTCCGACCACCACAAGTATCACAAATAAGCCTCAAACCACAACTGTGTTAGCTTCTACAACTCATGGTTCTAAAGACGTTTCTACTAAATCACCAACCACCACACGTATCACAAATAAGCCTCAAAAAAGAATTATGCCTGGTTCTAATACTGATGATTTTGACGAAAGTTATGATTCTGACGAAAGTTATGATTCTGACGAAAGTGATGAATGTGACGAAAATGACGAAAATTGTGATTTCTGGGATATATATATATGGATCGCTCTTGATAAATAGATATTTAAGTTGGTGTCGGGGTTTACTATTAAACGATATATTATTATTACTATTAGTGAGATAGATGTTAAATGTATAGATTGTACAGGAAAGGGCACGAAAAGAGTCAATTAAATGTTGACTATTTTAATTAGTTGTTTACTCTTTTATGTATAAAATTTATAATTGTATTGGATATAACTAGAAAAAATAAAATAATTTTAATAAATTCGTTAGACTATAAGTAGCATATTGTGTTTTATGATAATATATGTATTGGAATGAGGAATCAATAAATTATTTATTCAAAAAAATAATAATAAAAATATTTCATACAAAAATTTGCTTACTTATTTTATTACGTCGACTGGTCATATTATGTACATCGTAAAAAATAGGCCTGATACCTACCTACTTCGTAGTATTTTGATTTATGATATAAATAAAATACAATTATATTTAAACGATTTAATCGAAAAATATTTAGCTATAATATCTATAATAGGTAAGAACGGGAAAACGGCGATAATATGAAGGAGTATTAAATAAAATGTATGCCACATAAATATTTATGCTGTATATTTTTCAAATCTATCACTCTCGTTGACTATCAAATCATAATTTAAATATTGCGTAATATAAATTTATGAACAATATACCTAAGTGCAGCGGGATGGAGTAGGATGGAAGTTGGTCGATCCTCCCTTCGGTCCTCGGACAGGATAGTGTATTATTACTGCAATATTCGATTTGAATGCAACGATTGCATTCGATAAAAAACAATTCCGAGCGGACGAAAGAAAATGTATGAATCATAAATATGTTTTAATATGTAATCATTACTTTTATATAATATACCTAGGTAGTGAGAATTGTGTAATTTTTAAATTGTATTCGTTTTTATTGTGATTATTGTGGTTTTTCCAATGGAGTTGGAAAAATTATTGAGAAAATCGAAAAATGACCTGTTTAAAGAACCATCATGATCCAATTTTCTAAAAAATAAGATACTCTATGTTGAAATTGAAGCACGACTTCTGGCAGAAATTGTGTTTACGGGATAAAAAAAAATAAACATTTTTGTAAAACCACTAGATATACCTACTAAGATCGTCGGCCAATATTTAGTGTGTTAAAATGTTATTATTATTATAAATATTATGATAAATATATAAATATTAATATACCTAAATAATACATTTATTTTAAATATTACATTAATATTATTATTAATCGACGTCGCGGATACCTATTCGAGCTGCAGCGGTTTGACACGCTATTTCAGACCTGTCGCAAGGAGGCGCCGCACGGACTCGTTTGTCCAGGAGTCCTCGGACGGTTTGTGTGAAAAAGTTTAGTGCAGAAATCATGGAACGGAGGAAGAGAGGTGAACTTCATGCTTGTTACGGCAAAGAACCCGTTTGCGTAACAATAAGTAAGTAATACGCTACCACCATGGTATTATATTATTGACCAACCGACGGAGTACGGACGCAGTCGTCATAATCGTCCTCAATAATATTATGCGTGAAAATGTGGAATGCCGCCGTTATAATCGCATGTATGGCTAGATGATATGCTATATAGTAGTATAATATTATAAATTATAATATTTAATATGCACACACACTAAATAAACGCACATGATACTATTATATAATTATTGTAGGTAATTCATAAAAGGTATATTTTAATATTATAAACCTTCCTGACGTCGGAATTATTCGATTTTTAATAGGTAGGTATTATATATTATTACAATATTCGTAACTTTATAATAATATTATTGTATTTCGGCCATCAAACTCATTTTTGCTGCAGTTTAAATTTAAAAGTAAATTAATTTTATTCTCCCTCATCATTCATTGCTAATACCATATTTTGAACCTGAGGTAATAATAATATACTTTTTTTCAATTGTATTCACGATAAAACATTTTTGCACTTTTGAATGTGGTTTAACGGTATCATATATATAATATTATAGGTAAATCTATTGTTATTATGTAATATACGGATGAATTAATTTATAACGCTGATCAGATATTTCGATATTATATTAACATATTTTTATATTTTGTTATACCTATTAACCAATAATACCGTTTATTCAACAAAAAAAACATATCTCGTCGTCGACAGTATGTAAATATTGAACCGTGCGTGTAAAAATTCGTGCTCTTTTTTTATGGTCCCTTAAATGTTATGTGTACTTTGGTATTTTTTATGAAGGGGCACTTACCGGAAGATCGATTATGTGCCTCAAAGAGTTTTTGGCCGCTCCTTTCCTCTGCACGCAAAACGCCACGAAGTCCTCGTCCAACGCAGACTTTTCGCGCAGTAACCTGCAAATAAATAAATAATATTTAACAATCGAAACATTTAATATAATATATCTATATCTATTATCTATGTATAAAATTGTCTACTACATGCATAGATATATTTTTATTTAATACATATACATTTATAAAAATGTATCTATCTTCACGTAGAACCCCCCCCCATGTCACTCAAGATTCTAAAATACCAATATTTATTCCAATTACCAAATTATGTGCCAAGAATTTGAGACTTTTTTAGTCATTTTTTGAGCCCTCAAAACCCATTTTTTTACCGTGGAGTTGTCACACCCTGCATGTTTTCGATCAACTTTAAAATTGTTTATCAAATGATAGCGCGGTATTAGTGTGAATTTACGACATTGCGTATGTCCCTTTTCACCATCAAACCCATTTTCTACATTTTTCTAAAGAATGGAATGCTACCTAATGGTAATACTGCACTGCGTGAACTTCTTCCACACTCCATACTACTTTAACAGATCTAGCAAAGTATACATTTACGTTGTAACAATTTAATTTCAAATTTTAAGATATCCACTATTCATATTTGTTAAGCAAATTCCTCGTTACCTACTTAACATTCATATATTCTCTAATTTGCACTAAAATATTAGAGATCGTTGTATGTACTTACTCTTTAGCGTGTCGGTGTACGTCTTGATAATCATTGTAATGATCCCAGAAATTGGTACTAAACAAACTACCTAAAATCAAACAGATAATATTTCAGTTTACTGATAAACCATAACTCACAAGCAATTGTTGAATTTATATATGGTTAAAAATTATTAGAACGGTTTTAGTTTTGTAGATATTTGATATTCTATATAGTGTATACAATATACATATTTTTACACAATGTACCTACGATATATCTGATACATTATAAATGACTATACAATACCGTGCAGAGTTAGTAAAAAAACTTTGATAATTATTATACATTCATTGAATTTGTCGATACTTAAAGATTAGGATAATTGTGTTATTATTGTAAAAATAAATGTAATTTGACTACGGAAAATATTATAATTTGCCATGATTAAAATTACAATCATTATAAATGATTCATTTTATTTAGCTTTATGTTTATTAATCACATTATATAAACGTATAAAATACATTTTAATTCATTAACTATACTATACTATTAAGTATCTTATTGGCAAATATTATAAATACCGACAAATGTAATGAATGTAAATTTATTGAAATTTATGAAATTTAAATTATATAGATATTATAATCCTTTTAAAATTTAATCATAGAGTATTTTTTCACGTCATGGATGTATTCGTACCTAATATTAGCTGTAGCTATATTTATTTTGCTTATAAACGACCTATAGCCTATAGGTACACATAATTTCCGGACTAAAATGTCTTGCATAACTGAGCATAAATATAAACATATATAATATAGTAATTAATTGTAGCACATATTATGATATATTCAATAAATGTAGCTTAGTATCCCAGCTTATTCATAAATTTTTTTAAAGGTAACATAAAATTGTTAAAGAATAATATAACTGCAGCATGTATCTTTATAAAAATGTATACTATTGTGTTATTTTTTAAATACTAATGGATTAAAAAAATATTTTAAATTTAAATTGGAAGGGGAGGGGGCTAAAATCTCATTGGGGTCATCAACGCCAACCACCTTAATTGCACCATCAGCATTCAAATGTATTATACCTAGTAATTCAAGAACTATTCTGCGGAATTGTAAACAAAGACAAACAAGTGCACACACGGTTAATTGTCTCTGTAAGCTATTGGCCTTTTTTAAATCTAGAATTGTATTGTACGTAGCTAACACTTATACGATATAAATTACAGTATATCTATATTCTATACTGATACTTGTTAACATTGAACTTATTAGTTGAAAATAAAAGTTATTTTTATAGTCATATATATATATATAATAGGTATATCGTATATTATATTTTATAGTTTAGTTTTTAATTTATTAACCTATTGCAAGCATAGAAAAAAATATATTATAATACATGCTGTAGTAGTTATAACTTACGGCACTGTATACACAATATTAGCAGTTATATTTATGACTTATAAGAATCATTAGTATAGAACCATTGAAACGAATAAAGTTTTAATATCCACGTTTTTAAGTATTTTACAATAAGAAATTAATGTTATCACAACTTCAATAAAATTTAAAAATATTGTTTTGCTTGTTATTTTATTATGTAATTTTTTAATTGTTAAAAATAAAAATTATTATGATAAACATTCAAAAGATAACTTTTTTATGAATTCGATTGTGCTAATTTGTTTTCATTGAAAATCTGTCAATGCCTGATTTAAAAATAGTTCTTTATTCAATTGAGTTATTTTACTGTTGTTTAAATAAGTGCTTATCATTGTTTAGTATAAATATAAGTTTGAGATCACCAGGTGGTTAGGACATAATTCGGACGTTCTCAAGGCAAACATGGGACGCAATTAGTATTGCTTTTGTATACTTTTTTATTTGAGACTAGTACGCAGCATAAATTATGGTTTAGAAGTTATAGACTTCGAGGAACAGTTGGGCACAAAAGTTAGAATTTCAGAAAGAATTGTTTTTAATTTTTGTAAGTGTAAAGGTCTATTAGGATTTATGAACTAGAACATATATGAACATAGGCGACACTAGGGACATTTTTTTAAGGTAGCAAAAATTATATCAGCTGCACAAACCCTAATAGTTAATATTTTAAACTAAAATATGACTAAAAATGTTGAGGGCTATGGATAAAACTGGGGGGGGGGGCAGAAAGAATTAATATAATGTATTCATTTCAATATCAATTGAAAAAAAAATAAGAATAATAATTTGTACTTAGCAGATCAAAGTTAGGATTTCTGAAAGGAAAGGGAGCAATAAGAATCATTATTAAAATTACATTTATATTATATGTGTGTATTAGAGATGGTTTCTATATTTTAAATTGGATAATTTTATTTAAAATCAAATACTTCTTTTTATGGTTTTATACTTGAAATAATCAAATAAAACAATTTTCTACTTAAATCTAACAAATCTACCATTCAAAGAACGATAATGTACCTAAAATACTTAGGTACCTACTACCTATATTATGTGTGTTTTAACACGGGTTTCTAGTATCAACACCGATAAACGTGGTCGTTATAATTAATTATTGTATCCAATATAAAACATAGGTAGGTACCTAATAAAAAAAATGTGTTAGCCTATCTTTGGGTCTATTGTGGTCATAAACATGTCTTTTTAATTGCATGAAATTCAAAAAACAATTTTGCTAAGCGATCGATATTATTTTACTCGTTCATCATTAGAACGAATGATATCATCGTATAGCCCCAATTGGTAAAAGCGTTTATTTTATTCCAGATCCCCTTCATTAATTACATAAGCAAAGACCAAACCGTTTAAGGTTTTATCATTGATTCTAGTTTTTTATTATCATGTTATAAGTACTTTTTGAATAGATGATAATATATACATTAAATTATTAAAAAATGTCGCGATATAAATTATAGCAAATAATTGTAGAATTTTTTTTGTATTTTTCAGGAAATATTTACAATATGGGTACCGGTGCATGGTGTTTTCTTTAACAATGAATACACTCATTTCAAAAAGTATAAACTTTTGTAGTTTTGTTCGAAATTATTTTTGAAAAATTTAAAATATACCTAATATAAATTATGACATTTTAATTTGACTTCATCTTAGATTTAATTTTTTAACCTAATATTTGTCAGTAAATTACCTATCGACTTTTGATTTTTTTTAAACGTTTTTAATTTCAAAATCTAAATAATAATATTATTATTTTTTTTTGTTTTTTTCACTATTATTGTTGTCAATTATTAACAATTAAATAAACTAGTGTTTACTACTTATCAATAAGCATTTAAAGCGAGCCTTTTGCTGCCTCCTATCTGCTCATTTAAGGCCTTCTCACACTAAATACGTCGATGTCCATTGCGATGACGTACGTCAACGTACTCTTTTTGAATTTAACGTATTCAAATACGAATCCGCACACCAGGTACGACGAGTGTACGACGCGTCAAAAGTCGGGTACGTCCGTCCGGCGCGTCGACGTACGATATAAAATTGCTATCAGTTGAATGCGTCGACATTCGAATAGAACCATATTTTATTAATATTTTAAAATAGTTTTATCTTCAGAATTTGTAATCAACACAGTATTCCCAATGATATAATCAGTAGATAGTAGATACCCATACTTTGACTACGGACAAAACTATTTTAGTCCGTTACTTTGAACGTAGTTAAAATATTGTGTCATACGAACATAATATACATTTTAAGTTTTAAGAAGTGTGGTCCAGTAGTTCCTTAAAAAATATATATTATTACAAATATTTTTTTAAATATGGAAGAACAGCTAATAGTTGAAGTCGAGAAGAGGCCAGTACTGTATGACAAAAGTTTGGGAACTTATAAGAATGCCACATATAGAGAAGAAATATGGAAGGAAGTAGCCAATAAAAATTTATTATTTATATTTACTTTAAAAATTTAATTGAATAAACTAAATCTTAAGAAGTTAAGACACACACAGAACACGTCTTACCTATTCAAGTTTAGTGTTAATACTAAAAGTAGTGACTTGCATGCAATGGTGATGGAGCAAACAATCAGATAAAGGAATATAGTAGGTAACTGCAGTAATAAGCCAGTAATACATTGTACATTTTGTAATCAAAAGTTGATTTGGTTAGATAGAAATAATTATAATTTATAGTTAGCTTTTAGCTGACGGATAACCAATAAACGCATTTAGTGTGGGACCTGTGTACGTTGCGTTGAACGTATACTTTAGACGTACGTCATCGCAACGGACGTCGACGTATTTAGTGTGGGAAGGCCTTTAGGTAGGCGTTAATGTATTACACCTTATGTATCACCCTTGATATTCACAGACTTTTTTGACTATTGGGCGGTGGTATGGTCGTCAAGGGGATGACGGTGTGGGCGCATTTCGTGAGGCCGAGCGCAGCCGCTGTGACGCCTATCCGTCTGCTGTACGCGCGTGCGTCAGTCACGGAGGCGTCCCCCTCTCGCTATTTAACGGTATCGTTGTTGCTCGCAGACCCACGAATTTCCAACGATCATGATATTATGTTATACATAATATTATTTATTATTATACTATTATTATCATACTGTACATCGCCCCTCCCCCTGGCGAGACTTGTATTTGCAGTGTAATAATATTATTCCTCGTTCACCGTCGCGTCGGAGGCAGTCTGCACTTTCTCTCTCGAGCGCAAGACCCGAAAAATAGTATACGTCTACGTCATGATACTCCGCTGCAGTCCCATCACCACGTCATGACTACGGTATATAATGACAATCAGGGTATATTATTTATTTTAATAGAGATTTGGGCCCGAAAGTAGTACATACTCACATGCGACATGGGTAGTATACACACTGGAAAAGTATACTTAACAAAATTAAAATTAACGGATGGACACTGCATCAATAAAATATATCAGCGATGAGTAACTCGAAATTACTAAATGTTAAAAGTTCCACTAGCCGGATTATCTGTCAAACAACTTTTTTTTTATTTTTTCTAATATTAACTTATAAAAAATCTAAAAATCTAAATCTCAAGACTTGGATCGGATTTGAATCATTATCATATGAGGATTTCATATTTATTGTA